TTGTGTTTCGCGGCCTGGTGCTTCCCTGGTTGCTTTGGGCGCAGTGTGCGCGCCCCGCGGGTGGGGTGTCCCGTCCCGCTCTGGAGCTGTTTGGTACCAAGGGTGGTAAAAAGGTTCCAGTTCCTGTGTGCAGCCTGGGTTGGGCTCCTGTGAGCGAGTGGGTTACTAATCACGCAGCCCCGCTCTTTCTCATGCTTTTGTGTACTTTTCCTTTCTCTTAGCCTGTGGAGTCTTTGCAGCAGGGTCCCACTTTTTAGCATGTCGTCTGGAGAAGGAAGGTTTGTGCCTGGCTCTGGTGCTCGGAGGGCAGTACCCGGTTACGAAATCACAGTTCTTGGAGCTGATGTCTCAGGGTGTGGTTTTGACAAGCCTGGTGAGCCTGGTCCTTGCAGTTCTCAAGTGGAAAGCAACTGAGAGCGAACTTGCCTGAGAACAACTGAAGGGCAGTGAGCTGGAGTTCCTGTGTGCTCCTCCGACTCCTGCCCGTTCTCCTTGCTCAGGTCTTTGCACTGTTGGCTCCCATTGCCGCCTCCAGCCTTTTTCTTGGTTCCTGCAGTTCAGATGCTGGAGCAGCAGAACCTTGGCAACATAAAAATAGTTTCCCGCAGTTTTAATGTGTGAAAGAGGCAATCGCTAGCGAAAAAAGGGAGGGGGACAGCAGGGAGAGTGGTAGGGAAGGAGTGAGTCACCAGATGGGTTCAGCTGTCTGTGGAGCTGTACCCCCAGGGTGCAGTTTCAGTGCAGACCTGTTTGCAGAAGGCAAAGGACTTGTCTCCTAGGCTTACCCCTCCCTGGGCAACTCCTCCTCTGCCAGCTGCTTCTGGCATTCATATATATGACAAAGTAAACTGATACAGCTTTTCAGCTTGGCCAGAAGAATTTCTTGTTGGCAGAAAGGAGATGTAGTTGTTTGCCATTTTTGTGATCTGAAGTGCCTTACTTTGTAATCAGAGAAGCACCTGAGCTGTGGTAAGTGGTGGGAGCACATAGTTGATAGGAAGGGGACTTTGGACAGCAGCAACATGCTTCAGCTCAAGCTTTGCTAATCCTTGGCATTTCCCAGCATCTGCTTTTGCATTAGAATTTAATACTTGCCTAATTGTATGAAAATAAGTCTTCAAACATTCAGTGTCTCTTCTTTGTACTGGAAATAAGAAAGGAAAATTTTTTTTATTGTTGTTCTGTCTTCAAGCCTTCTCAGGAGCTCATGGCATGTGATACAGTCCTGATTATTGTCCCAGCATTTCAGCTCTACTAGTTAATACTGCCGTTATGATAAAGCTTTTTTTTTACCTAAGAAGCGATCTTGATGAATAGTTTGCCTGCTACCAAAGGCTTTTCTGATGGTTGCCAGGAGGATTTAGAAGACCTGTAGTGATGTTCTGTCATCTGTATCTTGACGAGGCATTGCACCGCAGGAGGTGCTTGTGCTGTCTTTAGGCTGTTCCTGAGTAATCCTGTTCAGTTGATGCTTGATACGTTTTCTTTCAGCCAAAATAAGAAGTAGAAGTAGCACTTGTAGTTTGAAAGGCAGGTTACGTGCTGGCTTAGGGAAGATTCCTTAGCTCATGCAGTTCCCTTTCTGTTGCTCTACCTCTTTCTGCTGTTGACTTTTTCTTTATTACTTGATTGTGTATCACATCTCACCTTTTAAGTGTGCATATGCTTATTTATGTTTTCATATGTCTCTGTCCAGTTTTGTTGCAGTAGTGCTTTTGAAGAGCTATAAACCCCACTATAGTCAAGCTCTAGGACGTATGACAACATGGGCATGTTTTCCTTCCTGTTACAGAGGAAACGCCTCAAAAAATTGTGTAAGGTGCCTTGGAATCTTGTAGTAATTATTAAAAAAAGTGAATTTTCTTTCTCACTTTAATGTTTATTAACTGTTGAGCACTGGATTACCTCAAGAAGTATGGCATGGTACTCATCTGAAATATGTTTTTGGATTGAAATGTATCATTTTCGTGATTTTACTTGCTGGGTAGTGATGTTACAGAGAAAGAGCAGAAACTAAGTAGCCTCGCTACAGTAGAAGTGGGAAAGTGTAGTAGCAGTGAACACTAATCACGTTTGTTACAGTAGCGCGTCTCTCCCCTCGCAGTTTTTAAAAACCGAAATCAATTCTCTGGATGGATTAAAAGTGCTGCTCTCTGAGGAGATGACAAGGTAGAGCCTGACAAGGCTGAACACTGTGCCTGAGGGACAGCAGTGACTGTGCAGGTACAGGGAACCGGGAACAGAACTCACACTGGGTTTAAGTCTGTCTTCAGGCAGATCTGCTAGTCTCATGGTTGTCCTTTCACTGGGCACCAATGAGAAGAGTTTGACTGTCTACCCTGTCCGGCATTTATATAAATTGATCAGATTTCCCTGGAGTCTTCTTTTCTCAAAGCTAAACCTCTCCTCGTATGGCATATCTGTGCTAATAATTGCAGAATGGTTGGAGTCAGAAGGGCCCTCTGTGGGTCACCCAGCCCAACCCCCTGCCCAAGCAGGGTCACCCAGAGCAGGCGGCACAGGATCGTGTCCAGGCGGGGCTGGAATATCCCCAGAGAAGGAGACTCCACAGCCTCCCTGGGCAGCCTGGGCCAGGGCTCCGCCTTCTCTTCTCCAGGCTGAACAAGCCCAGCTCCCTCAGCATTTCCTCGTAAGAGAGATGCTTCAGTCCCCTCATCATCCTCGTAGCCCTCCACTGGACTCTCTCCAGTAGCTCCTCATCTTTCTTGAACTGGGGAGCCCAGAACTGGACGTAGTACTGCAGATGGGGCCTCACTAGGGCAGAGCAGAGGGGGAGGAGAACCTCCCTCGACTTGCTGGCCCCACTCCTCCTAATGCACCCCAGGATGCCATTGGCCTTCTTGGCAGCCAGGGCACGCTGCTGGCTCATGGTCACCCTGTCATCCCCCAGCACTCCCAGTCCCTCTCCACAGAGCTGCTCTCCAGCAGATCAGCCCCAGCCTGTACTGGTACATGGGGTTATTGCTTCACAGGTGCCAATTTGCTGAAATGATCTTTAACCCTGTCCTCCATGACCAAGGGAAGGTCTTCCTTTCTCAAGGTTTTCTCTCTTACCTCCGGGGACTGGGATTCCTGAGAGCCAGCCTTAGCAGTAAAGACTGAAGCAAAGCAGGCATTCAGTAACTCTGCCTTCTCTGTATCCTCCATCACCAGGGCACCCACCTCATTCAGCAGCGGGCCCACATTGTCCCTATATAGACATTATTTCCCTTATATATATGTTACATATATTAACAGATACATTTCCCCTATATATGCACATTATTTACTGTATTAATGTAGGACATGGATAAAGGAGGCAAATATTCTTCTAACAAATATTCTACTAACTGAAATATTGCAGAAGTGAAAGATGCGAAGAAAACCCTGCCTCTTTTTCGTGTTACCTGACATTTTCATTACAGAAAATAGTTATCTTCCCTGAAATTCTTTGGGACAATATATGCTTTTGAAATACTAGAATTCTTAGCTGTCCTGGAGTAAAGTAAGATAGCGATACATGAAATCTGAGAGTTGGATGAGGGCTTTTTAAAGATCACCCAGCTGAAGAATGCTTCTTACACACAGGAATTTATGGTATAGATGTAGAATTGTGGTGTAGTTTTATGATGTAGACGGCCCACCATTTCCTTTGGCTGATCTGTTTCTGCCATCAGACTTGAGTTGCATGCTTGTACAGGAAGGCAAGATTTTTTAAAAATCAAAATTTATACTTCTGTCAAGCACAAGTTGGGAGTTTAATCTGGTGATTGTTGGATAAATGAATAAAACTTGTGGACACAGGAGGACAGTTAAACCGTTCCTGAGTGTTAGGGTCCTTTTCTTCATTGCTAATCTCTCTGTTCCAGAGCTGCCAGACTGGAGTGACTCAATGGATAGCAGCATGCAGTGGATTATTACAGACAGCCGCAGTCCAAGGCCAGTGTAGACGGATGATCTATGGTATTTTCCAGGTAGGATATCAGAGTATGTTAAGAGTGTGTGGTTAAAAAAAAAAAAAGAAGTTAGTAAGAAAAAGTCATGGTTTTTAAATAAAGAGGTTTCCGGAAGTCGTGTCTTCACTGTCTGCGTATTGCTGAAATATCAAGGCAACTGAAAAGCTTTCTACTGGGTGAGCTCCCACTATAGCACAGTTGTCTTCATTCCAGCTGTGTAGTCTTTTAACGGAAGGAACTGATCTGTCGTGAGTAGATTAAATGCAGAAATCCAAGTGTAGGTCTCATTCTTCCAAAGCAGCTGTTACAAGCTAGTCACGATTGCCTGTTATTTCCGGCACTTTATTTTACAGAATGTCTCCACTGTACAGTAGCCCTGGACTTCCCGGTGCTGGTGATACATTTAGCTAGCACAGCGCGACGTTAAGTAGTGGTGTTCCAGGGGAAGGCACTGCTCTGCAGTTTTGCTTCCCGTTCTGTAATAGCATGCTTAGCATCAGGTTGTGTCTATCCATAGTAAATGAACTAGAACATCATGTAATAGCACTTAATAATAGAGGTGAAAAACGTGTAGAAAAGGTGAATAGAGGCAGACTATCTGAATGGAATTAGAGTATGTCTCTTGGTGTTTCCTTCTTGCATACAATGAAACGAGAGGAGATTAAGCCTCCTCTTTGTCCTCCTGTATAATACAACTTGTATCATGGAGCCATGACTTACAGAATTAGAAACTTACCTGTCAGCTCTTTGGCTTGGGTGTCTTTTCTCAGATAAGACCTTCCAGTCCTCGGAAACTTGCCTTTGCTTTTGTGGCACAACCATACTGTGAAGGCACTAGTCCGTATCAAGTAGAGTACGATGTTGGGAGTAGAGAGGGAAATGAGCGGTTGTGAAGTTGATTGATAAAGTTGGGCTTACTCTGAGCCAACAGTAGGTTCAGTAGACTTCTGGGGCTGACTGCTGTGAACAAACCAGCATATTTACTGTGTCTGAATTTATTCATAAACAAATTACTCCTAATTTGGGTGTGCTGGGAGGCTACGATAGGTGTTCTGTTCAGCGTGCACCTTCTTACCTGGAGATCCCACTCACTCCTGCTTGATAGTTTTATTTATTGTGCAGTAGCTCTGTAATAGAAACTGTGTGCTGTGAAGTTATAGTGGCTGTAGTGATAGCTTTTACCCTGTAATTTGTTTTGCTCAAGTCCTGGCCACAAAGGCAATTGAATGGACTATAAATTTGTAGATAAAAATAACATAAACTCTGTTTCTCTACAAGGCCAGGAAAAATAATTAAGAGACAAAACCTATAACTAGAAATAGTGTGTGAGAAAATCAAAGCAGATAGCCTGTGGTTTTTGAGAGCGGAGTCTTTAGCCAGTCCATTCCATCAGTACCTTTACAGAACTCTAGAAAATGTGTGGTGCAGAGCATTAAGCACGGACAACCGTTTTGTTTGTAACAGTTATGATAATAAATTTGTGCTTTTTCTGATATAAAGTTTTTCATGATTAGATTGAAATTTGATTGACTTGGAAACAAACTAAGGGTAAATGGTGTAAAGTTAAGTGTTTACTTTTTAATGGTCTCTTTATTTTTTTCTTTTCTTTTGTTTTCTTTTGTCATTTTTACTAGAGACGCAAAGCTGGCCAGTTCCAACTTTCTAAATCCTGTGGTGGATTGATTCAAGCCAATGGAGCCATTACACAGCACAACAGTCCATTTTACAATACAAAAAAGGTTAGAGGAATTTGATGTTTTATTGTCAGAGGGCACATTTTGTTAGGGACTATACAGATAAGGGTAACAAAACACTTTTTGAAACATGTAGGAGATGATTCACCTTTATATAAAAATATTTAAAAATATTTAAAAATATTATATGGCGTAAACAAAGGGTCCAATAATTTGAGAAGTGCTTGCTGTTCCTTTCCCGGAAATGGAGTGCTAGCATAGGAAGGTGCAGGTACAGTGGGGTTGTCTGGGGTGGAGGTTCCAACAGTAAGATGGAGGGCTGCTTTCCGGTGAGGAAAGAAGCTAAGTTAAGGAGAGGAGTTATTGAAGTGGGAGGCAGATGTTCCTTTCTTACCTTTAAAAGGGAATCACGGAAGATGCCCATATATATTAGAAGTGACAAGATGTTCCCTGATTCTTTAACTCGCAAATAATGTGTAATGACAGCTATGCTATCTGCTGATCGTCATGCAGTCTACTAATAACAACTGATTATTGTATAATAATTTATTTACTGTTCATCTGTACTATTTTGTTAATTTGGGGCCTCTGCATCTCTTACATTTATTGTCTTTTGTCTTGTAATAGAAGTTTTCTGGAGAATGAACCTTCTCCAAAAGATTAGTTTAGTACTTAATCCAAGGGAGTCAGCGTCTCTCAACTAATAAATATCCTGATTCTGCTCTTGTTAATGCAGTGTGAAGGAAATGGCAAAATGGAATCTGTGCACAAGAAGCGAGAGGACAGAAGGAAAAAGAAAGTTAGGAATTTCTGGGTAAAACTTGCGTAAAAGCAACAATCCCAGTTTGCTGTCTGCCTGATTGTGTATTTTGCTGGTGTAGAGTTAGAGGTAGATACTAAGAAGTATTTTAAATTGGTTATTTTGACATGGATAGGCAAAATGAAAGAAAACAAGGACATGTGTGGAAGGAAAGAACCCCTGGCTGCTGTCTGCATCTAGTTTTTCACTAGAGGTTTTGCTTGTCTTGGTCAGTTTTTCAGTGTTTTTCAGCTGGTGAGGTAAACCAAACATTTTGCAGACAAAGTTTGAAGCACACAAGATGGCTTGCACAATTTACTATGTCCAGAGCTACGGAAAGAATCCAGGCTCTCAAACATGGTGCAGACCCCTAGTCCTTCCGCCTGCCTGCGCTGCCCATGTTACACCTGCACAAGCATCGTTTGCAGAGCAGATCTGGGAGAGCAATGGGTGACGAGATGGTAGACCTAACAAGCCGTAAGTGGCATGAAGATCTGCAAGGCAGGTGTCAGAGACTTGCTTTGGATGTATTGGAAAGGGCTGGGGGAGGGCTACAAAGGTTGAAAGATGAATTGGGAAACTTCCTGGTTAAAATAGCCTTGGTGTAAGAAGCCAGGCAGCATTTATGACCAGAGAGGAAGCAGTGTAGGTAAGGTTTGAGGTAGGTTTTTGGACTGCAACCCCACAATTTTAAATAGAGAAGTACTTGCTCAGCTTTGAAATGTGAACTTGACTATGCACTTCTGGTGGGAAAGTGTTTTAGAATTAATGATGAGCTCCGATTGTTTAATTTTTATACTTGGTGTCAAAATTAAGAGGATTGTTCTCTTTGAGCACTGAATTTCAGGTATTGAGCAAGAAAGTCGGCCTGAGGTGGTCTTATGTCACTTTCAGTGTCTTGATGAGCTTGTTTTGAGTGAGTTGTAAAACATATTTTCTGAAGTTTTCTCTATGTGTTTTCTAGATCTGATTTTTTTATATGCTCATAGGACTGTTTAATTGCATTTGGATGCAGTCCTAGCATTGGCAGGACGAACTGCGTGCCTCTGTCCGTAGGTTGAACCAAACGCTCACTGCTTAAATCCCCTCTCCATCTCCTGAGCTAATTCAGGCAGACTTGCAGAAGAGTGAGGCAAGAATCATGGCATTTCATAGAAAAAGACTGTTTTCCAGTCAATCCAGTCAATTTTTTTGGTGATGAGGTAGCAGCAGTTGAATCGAGATAATTTTGGTTTTTAACTGCTGCATAATGAAGATCCTTACTGAGGGTGACTTCATAATGCATTTTTAGATAAGAGACACATAGTAAAATTAATCTTCTCAGATCCACTGGGCTTTTAGTATGATTTTAATACCTGTGGAGGAGATGGAATTTGATTCAAAGAGTTTGGTATGGTGGTGGTTATTGGGACACAAGTTCTGCGTTGAGCATGTCCTATCATTGCCTGGCTGGAGAGGGGCTTTTGGAGTTATGGTGTAAGGTTAGGTGTCATTTTTGATGTAGAGGATAAGAGTATTGCATGGGATAATCTTGAAGAGAAAGTACTGAAAATTGGTTTAAATGTTCACGTGTATGTCAGTAGACTCACTGGGCTGATCCCATGTGGCAGAGGGTGGGAAAGTGCCTTTGCAGACGCTTTTGTTCTGGGTGATAACAGAGGACTTGGTGAGCAGGTTTAATGGCCTTCAAAGGAAGGATCTGAGTATTAAAGGAGGTCCTGGACAGTGTTATGCTGTCTTTACTGGGTGGCTGATAGATACTAAAATGGCACTGAGCATGTTTCTTCCTATTTACCTGAATACTAGGCGTGATGGGGTTCAAGACACTGATAGCCATCTACAGATAGCGCACAAGTGCAGAGCATTTTATCTCAAATTCTAAAGCTTGTGTGTGGATGTACATAGGGACTGAGTACGTCTCAAAGCTACAATTTTTGTCACCTTTACGGTTAGTTTTTAATTAAATATAGCACCTTGTGCAGGATATGTGTCTGTATTTTAGTATGTATTTATTTCTCATTCATGCCATTTCAAAAATTATTATACTAGGAAAGCTGTAGAGAATGATACCAAACAACTAAGAGGAGGATAGCAAAAGAACACAAGCAAATGACAAGGACTAGCACAGCAGCCTGAATGAAAGAGCCGCATTTTGGGACAATAGGAGTACAGCCGGAATGATCAGAACTGTGAGAAGCCCGCAGTATGAGAAGAGCCCATTTTAGGACCCTTCTAAACTAAGGAGAGAGAACTGATGAGCGTATGTGTGATACTGGCCTATAGAAGTCATAAAAGATACTGAACGAGGGAGTAGGGAATAGTTGTTTGCGACTTCTTGTGGGAAAAATGGGAGCGTCCAATGAAATGGCAAAGTTGGATTTAATACAGGCACAACAGAATTTGTTTTACATAACTGAGCTGCGAAACTCGTGTAGCACAACCCTGTGTGTTATGGAGGTGAAACAGTTTCAAACACTGGGATGCTGAAGGTGCATCCAGTTCTAGCTGCCAAAAGTGAATGTGTGGATGCGTTTTCTGGGGCAGGAATGACTGCTCAGAGCTGGGTGGGTGCAGCCCAGGAAGCTGCAGTGGGTGCGAGCACCGCTTCTCTGCGTTTGTGTCTCGTCCGAGTGTTTGCTGCTGCTCCAAGTGTTTGTTCTGGCCATGTGTGTTGCTAAATTGCTTCCCTACTAAGAAAATTCTTTTCTTGGTATGTTCATGTCTTAGTAGGAAGTGGTTAGGGTAAAATTCCAGCAATGTAAAGCAATTCAACATTTCTTTGGTCAGGGAATTTTCTCAGGTTGTAATGGCTCTCAGCTGTATTTCTCAAGTATATGTGGGAGATTCATATGCATTAGATTTTGGTTAGATGGGTTAAAAGTAGAGTAATTAGTTAATAACAAAATGTTTGTACTGTATAATTAATTAGAAATTATTTGCTGGAGTGCAAAAGGTAGTTAACTGATGGCTGATTGCTACTGCCAGGATGCGTAGAGGCAGAATGGGAGCTGGCATTCTGCCACAAAGATTCGTGTCAGTCCAACGGTGTTGAAGGTGTGTAGTTAGTCTGGGAGAGAACATTGATCTTCATGTTTGCAGACACTGCAGATCGTTGAGGACTAAACACTTTGCTGATCTAGATTTTCTGCAAGTACCATTTAGATTAACTCTAAGGGGAATAATAATGGGGGGCAGCTTTTCAGCGAGAACAGTGTGTTCATGTAGCTTCATTAGTTTTGAGACAGAGCTGGCTGGTTTACAGAATATGTAATTACTCTAGAACATGATATGCCTGTGAGAGTAAGAGAGGGAATGTGAAAGGTTAGTTTTATTTACTCTATTTCTGTGATTTGTTTTGCTTGTTTTATATGCGAAAGATTTAAGCCCCAGTAAAGATACCTGTCTAGAAGGAATATTGGAATCTAGAATGGGAGCCGTATTTTGGAGAGCAGGTTTCTGTGCACACTATTTGAGTCTGAGCTTCCAGTGGGATGCTTTTATCAAAACGGTTATGCAATGTTTGCATTCATAAACAGCGCATAGGAATAACAATGTGGTATTTTGCAGAGAAGACCCAAATATGTATTTGTTTTGTTGAATAAAGAAAGTAAACAAAACCCTTAAAATTCTCTATTAAGCTTGTAGCTTCTTTAACTAAAATGATTTGTCTTAATTGCTAAGACTGAAATATGTGATATTTCAATTTTACAGCATCTTTGTTCAAAAGATTCCTTGCAACCATCTGAAGAGAAAGTGGGTACTTTCACAAGGATAATAGAAGCAATGGGTTTCACAGGACCACTGAAGTATAGCAGATGGGTAAAGCATTCATTTGATATTTCTTTTGGTTGGTTGATACTTCTGGAGTTCTAAAAAGCAAACAAAAAAATCCCCACCTTTTTTCTTATAGTAGGAGCACTACTTAATGGATAAGTTCTAATTATTACCCATGTAAATTCCTGTTTTGTGATGTGAGGAATAATAATCCATAACTTAAACCTACCATGATCTGTGTATTGCCATCATTGACAGAAGCAGGGATATTGCATTGGGTTTGCAGAGTTTTAAGCCTTCTTGAATTTCTTCTGAGATCTTATTTTTCACTTCATTTGTGCACCAAAGAACACGGTAACAGCCTTACTATCCAAGTCAAACACCTACATAGACCATTCTCTTGTCACTAATAATGACCAACTGCCATTATCTAGAAAGAATTTAATTACAGGAAAGGCATGTTATGATACTTGTGCTCCTCCAGCCTGCAACAGTTGTCCGTCTCGGGGCTTCCTGCATGAAACTAGGCTGTTTTCTGTGATATCTGTTGATGGATTTTTTTCCTATAAATTTATCCAGTTGCGCTTTGAACTCTTATCAGTTTATAGCATCCGTAGCATTCAGTATCAGGGAGTTCCACAGCTCGAGTACCCCACAGGGGAAGAAGCACAGTTGTTTTCAGTTGGTGCCTTTTCATTTTGTGTGTAAAAAATAAAATGGTGATTATTCTTGCTTTGCAGTGTATATTCGCATTTTCCCTTCCACTGATGATTTTATAGACTCAGATATTCCGTAATATCTTAGTCCTTCTCTGGACCGAGGAGACAGTCTAACTTGTTTCTGTTATTGAGGCTCTTTCATGTTTTGGTTTATGTTGCTCTTTTCTGAACCTCTTTCAATGTTCAGTATTTCTGTGACAGGAGGGTCTCCCAAATGGACAGTATTGAGATATGTTATGGTGGTTGTTTGAGTAGTTGTTCAGTAGTAGCTGACTAGAGCAGAGTCACAAATAGGTCCTCCTCTTCTGTGTTTTTTTGAATAGTCCTTTGGTAAAGCAGTTGTTAACACTGACTAAATGAGAGCAGTTCTGTAAGAGACGCCTTCAGTTCCATATGCGGAAGGAAGAAGAGAGGGGTGAAGTTTATAATTTCTTTGCTCTGAACTAGGACACAGTATAAAGGAGTGAGAGGGGAAGATAGCTTGAAGGGAAGGGCTGAGCCCAAGTGTGTGGGAATGAAAACCTATAAGGTGCTTTGAATATCTGCAAGACAGAGCGGACCTGCTTCGAGACTGGTCAGAAACGGTTGCTGATTGCATCTCGCTCCTCAGAAAGAAAAGATAACTGACAGTTTAATCAGGTGATGCTAAACCTCATGAGAGAGTAGTTTCTTTCCCATGTACGTGTGTACATATTTTTGTAATAAAGGTTCTTGTTAGCTCTAAGTGTTGATTCAGAGTTCTCCTTAATTGCTACTCTTTACTGCCTGCTTTTGGCTAGGGAACTTGGGTTTCGAGAGAGTTATTTTGTGGTTAGGGCCCAAGAGACCTGAGTTCATTTTTGGCCTTGCCAGTGCTCTCTATGAGATCTTAGGGAAGTTTCTTAGTATTTCTCTGCTTTTTTCCATTTTCTTCTCCCTTGCCCTACACCTCCTCTACACCCTAAAACTTTCATGATTAAATATCACCAGTTTCTCCTGTGTTACCTGCCTTATTTAAGGGCTGGATTGCAGGCACTGTTCTATACAATATATTTTTAATGTCTGGTGTTGCCTGGTCTGGGCCAGTGGCTTTCACTGGGGAGATCTCTACTCCCAGGCCAGGCAGCATTTCCTTTGAAAAGGAAACCTTCAGAACTACAGTAAATGGTGCAAATTATTTTACTGCAAGAAGTTTAGATGCATACTTGATTTTTGACAGAAGCCTGAGATTATTGAATAAGAAAAATAACGGCTCCTGTGTTTCTACAGTAGGAGAACAGTTGCAACTTCCTTATTTTCATTTTGGAGGAGACACAAAGAATTACTTTAGTAATCTGAAGTGCCATTTGACAGGCATAGTGCTCATCTCTGTAGTATAGGCAGGACTGAGATGATCCCTAGTATATGTCACCAAAAATTAAAAAAATAAAAAACCAAACACACACCCCCCCCACCCCTCCCCCACGCAAAAAAACTAACCCAAACCCAGTGCTGGTTCCTGGCTTAGGTAGCAGAGTAAGCTCTGGAGTTTTCAAATTTTTTTTCTCCCCTTGATGTTAGTAAACAAGAACAGCTGACAGATCTTCTCCTTAAGATCTTTACTGTCAGTTAGTGTGGTCATTGAAGCTTCAACGCATGTGTCTTTGTTATAGATGATGCACTGAAGGTGTTTCTGGTGCAGAGGCAGGCCAAGAACAAAATTAGCAGTGCCAAAACACCTGAGTATACCTCATGTCATTCATCATTTGTGATTCCTTTCTCACTTGTGAAGCTCAGTTCACGTTTCATTTTTGTAGGAAAAAAGATAGTTTTCAGACATGTCTGGTATGTGACTTCTTTAATATTTAAAACTTAAATTATACAAAATACTTTCGGTGGTATACATCAGTTAAAGTTATTGGGGAAAACCAGGAACTGTGAATTGGGATCTTTGAAGTCTCTATAAGGAAACCCATTTAATTTATTTTTCTATAAGGATAGTATGATATTAAATTAGATTCAGAAGGGTATTCAAGAAGCCATTTAATCATTGTTTTGCCTCAAGGCAAGATTGATTATGCTTCTGTCATTCCTGGGAGATATAATAGTTTAGTGTGCTCCTGAAAATCGTAAGTGATTGTGATTCTCAAAAGAATCTTTTCAGAAAATGTTAATGTATGTATTTAACAAACTGGTGTGTTCACTAGTTCTCATGGTGAATATTTTAAGTATTGTCTTTTCTTTTTCTTTAGAAAATTAAGGTAGCAGCTTTGCGCATGTACACATGCTGTGTGGAGAAAACTGACTACGAGGAATTTTTTAACAGTAAGTAATGGACTTGATGCTATTTGGACTACTGCCATGGTGAGAGAACTTCTGATGAGAACTCATTAGATATATTTATACCAATAAATATGACAGCGAAAAGACTTGTCAGACCCTAACAGTGTGTGGTCAACTAGAAGCTGACTGTACTACAGCATTCTCGTGAGCTCTGAAGGGGCCAGAGTTCAAAGGCAGACTCTGGAGTCTGGGATTGTTACATTTTGCCCACTGCAATGGAGAACAGGAACAAGGGTGGAACAGGTAAAACCCGGAATAACCTGGACTTTGAAGGATATTGCGTTGTTTATTACCAGGGTTGGGATAAACTAAGAGTCCAGATAGCTCTTCCCTTTTTACTATGGTCAGATTGTCTCTGTGTCCTGCGCTGTCCAGTGACCAGTTGTGAGAAGGTCCAGTATAACTGGGGTGCAGGTATAGGAACTATCCCTGTGCAATGGTGTGCAGGTGTTTTTGTGACATAGATGACAAGGTCCTAGCTGTCTCTCTTCCTCATGACTGGGGCAAGTTTGGCTGGAACTTAGAGAAAGTCTATGTTTTACTGACCATGACAGCATTAAAGTAGGACACATCTCTTGACTGGGTAGAGAGTATGACTAGAATAGAGACGCAAGTCCCTCCTTCAAGTATATGGGAATAATATTGGCTTGAATTGGGATAGCTTTTCCATGTTGCACACAGTTGTTCAGCTATTAGCTAAAAAATCTGCTGCTGCGTTTGTTAGTATCAAATGTGGCGGGTGAATAGGGAAGATGTGTTTTTGAGACTTACGTAAACCTCAATAATGTTTTATTCTTACATGAATTATTTCTTGTGTCAGTGTGATTTAGCTGGTAGTAAACCGATTGCCTGGATCTGGCCTGTCACCCGAATTCCTACCGGCTGCTTTCTAGTGGCCTTAGAGTGTCCCAGCACGGGTTGGGGCGGGGGGCCCCACCTTTTCAGAGATCAGCTGAAGGAACATCTTTGTGTGTTCATCTAGTGCAGAGCTTATTGAGGCTGGTTTGGTACATGGTGTTGCTGCTGCAAGATTTTCCGATGGTTTTCAGAAGGTTTTCCAAAACTGTGATGTGGTTTCAGTGGTTCCAAGAGTGAGAGAGCACTGTGAGCAGTAGGATTCATCATTAGTGATCAAAAAATTAGAACCTCATTTTTCCTGTGCACACACCTCTCTGCAGCTGTGTGCCCTCTCAGGCTTTCTCAGATAAGTTCTCTTCTGTTTGTTGTATTTGCCTCTCAAATAGAGACTTTGCTATTTTTAACTGGTGTTACGCTATCTCTGCTTAACAGGTTAATTGTACGAAGATATATAAATCTTGCCCTAGCTTAAAATGTAAAGGAATTTCAAAACATGTATGTGAAAGAGACTGGCACAGATTTTCAGGCTCAACACTGAGTAAAATGACTTCAATTGTATTCTTGATACTGTCTTAACTGCTTTAAAGAGAAAATTTTCAGAGCTCCCCCTCGCTTTAAATATATCACAAACAACAGATAGCCTTTCCTTCAAGTTTTACTGTTTTCTCCAGAATGTCCTCGTTGCTGCTTTTGTCTTTCTGCTCTGTAATACAAGTTGTAGGCAATCCATCTCTGAGTTTACACCCGGGGGAACCCTATGCTTGCGATGACTTGAGACCATTGTTACATAAGGAACAAGATAGTTTGTTTTGCTGAGATTGTCAGTGTGCATGGTGCACCCATTGGTGTTGTAAGAACACCTCTGGAGTTGGGGTTCCAAGGACATCATTGTTTTCGTTTAAAAACAAATATAAGAAGTTTCTGTTATTTCTATCTACTTACAGCTGCGACTGTTTGGAGGATTAGCTCTAAAATTTAGCAGACGTTATCCGTGTTTGTAAAGTAGTTCCCCGAAAGCACAGACTGCGTGGGGTGGGCTGGTACCTTTAAATTGATTTTGCTGACGAAGAATCTTTAGGCTGAGGTTCCATGGGCAGCTGAGTCGAAGTAGTGGCCAAAGGGAAAAGGCTGACTTCTCCGTCTTCTGCCTGTGTTCTGGACTGGACAGTTATCATGTCCTCCAGTGAACTGTTCAGGTCGCTGAAATAAAATGGCCCGGATTTTACTGACTTCCTCTTGTGCTGTGTTGGTGACTTTGTGGCACATGGAAGAGTCCGATGGACAGCAGCTGTGGCGTACAGTAGGTGGTAAGGAGCGCACGATTAGGAGAGGGGAGCATGGCATGAAGCAAGATACCCAGCTTTCAATTCAGTCCACCAGGTCTTCGTCAAACTAGGTCAGTCAGGAGCTGTTTTTTTCTGTTCTGAATTGCTCCTCTTTCAAATAAAGGTGGGCATCGCTGAAGCCAGGACTGCAGCTCACTCCCAAAAGAGCAGCCTGGGGCACTAGTAGGAACAGGACGTAACTAGCTCTGAATTCTTGCCCTTGGTGATGCAGCAAACACAGGTGTGTCTGAGACTGTGCTGACATGGGTGCTGCACCCCCACACGAGGAATTGCACTGCTTAGGAACTCTAAGAGTAGTACTGGTGCTGCGTGGGACCCTGCTCAGGTCTGCCTGAGGCAGAGCCGGCTGTGCGTAGACCTCGTGGTGTTCCTTTATGCTTTGCGTAAGACCTTTATGCTTTGCAGCCCCCAGCACTGCTGGCTCTAGCTGCACGCTGTTGAGATATCCAAGCGAACTGCATGGAGTCAGCTCTGGTCTCTGGAGAGCTTATTAGCTTTTTCTCTGCTGTTTGTGAGAGTTGTTGACCTACTGAGCTGGCCTTGGAAACCATGCATCCATGCATGTGTAAAACCGTCTGTGGGCTCATTAACCCTGTGGGGTCAGAACCAGCTCTTTACAGAGCCGTCTCCAGTGTTTCTGGATGTGCTTTTGTGATGTGGTTATGTTGTGGCATGAATGACAACTGCAGTGCGACTGCTTGGAACTTGCACTGGTGTGTGGATTTTGTCAGGTGGTGCTCTGACAGGGGTAACAGACTGTAAAGACTGGATGGTGTGGTGTTGACGACTAGGATGAGTCTTAGAGGCTATCTTGCTATCTGAGCGCATTTCTGCTGATACCTAGTGACGTTTCCGAGACTTCCAGTTACACAGTATGATCCCTGTCCACTGCATAATACTTCTCTGTATTATGCCTTAGAACAGCAGTTCCCAAAATATGGACTATGGATATGTAAGTCATGAGGCCAGTGTGGTGTATAAAGGAGGTGTTTTAATTGGGACTCTCTAGGATTGTACTGCAGTTAATTTTGTTTTAGCTGCCATTCTGTTTTCTCTTCGTTTTGTGGTCATCCATGGAGAAAACTTTGGGAGATCTGCTGTAGAGCCTGAGTCCCACATGTCTGTACTGTGCTGCTTATATGGAAAGTGGAGCAGTTTTAGGACTTCAGCTGTTTCTTGTTTGAAGGATAGAGAAGTAGTGGAGGGAATAGCAAGATTACTGGTGCCAGGCTTGCTGTGCAGCAAGCTTGCAGAGCTTGGGTAGTTCTAACAAAATGAAGGAGGTAGCCATCTGTGAGGAGAGTGTTTCATGCCTAGCCTTATCTTTGAAAGGTCAAGGGAGGTTTTAGGATCAGGTAGGTGATACTGAGAGCTGAGCTAAAGTTTGTCTGATGAGCATGGAGCATAGGATTGCCTTGAATTCATCTTGAGCTGTTAATACTGCTAATTGCTCCACTACCGTACAGCTGCAGTAGTAAAGAGGTGGCCCTATCAAAACAGTCTTTCAGGCAGCTTCTAGGGGGACGGCCAAGCAACTCGAAAGGCTTGGAGTTTTCCTACAGGACTGTGGATTCTTCTGTTTCCCTCAGCCCATCGGGTGCCCGTAGGCGCTTGCTGCTGTGTCGTACTCGGGGGAACGCTGACAGTAGTGCACCTGTTTCTTTGCAGGGTCTGGGGATATTGTCCCGTTGCATCCTTCCTAAAATTGTGGTACTGGCAAAGATGACCTATCATGAAAGAAAGTCCGCGTTGAAGTTTTGCATCCCTTACCTGAATTTTAAGTGCAGAATATGGCTGGAGGAAGAGGTATGCTCTCATAATCCTGAGCATTCATGTCTCTTATTGTACGCAGACATGTGAACAGGATGTGTTCTGTTGGCAGAACAGATTTATTCCCTGGCTGATGATAACCACGATAAATTCATAGGTAGCTTTACCGTCAGACATTTTTACTGTATCTAACTCTATTCTGAAGGGAATAATGTTCTATTTAATTATAGGATGGATCTTTCTCCTTAGTTAGTTTCCCAGAGTAAGGTGGTCCAAAACCTCAAATTGTAGAATTGCATGCTTTTTAAAATGCTGGTATCTGAGGGAAAGCTTGTTGCTTTAAAAGAGTCATTCCTCTTTTAAATTTATGACATAGACAGTCTTAATATAGAAGTTAAAAAATGGATTATAAAAATAGAAGTGCAACACTTGGAAAGTTAGAGAAAAAAATTCTTCTCTCCTGGGTACTGAATAGGTCTTTAAAAACTTTCCACTTTTCCAGTAGTAGAGGTGTGAGCTTTGCTTTCCACTGAAGAGTGATTTCTGTGGTGGGAGACTGATATATGGTAACTCCTACTTCAGAAACCTCTGTCTATTGAACGAGGTGTTTTACTCTGAATCTTGCCTGTGGAACCTTCCGTTAATGAAATGGTTTGATTAATGCAAGCATTGTGTACGCTTGCCCTGGTTAGAGATGCCTTGGCATGCCTTCAGGTCCAAGTAGTCATTTCTAGGCATATGAACTGTTTCTAATAGGAATGAAAAGGCCAAAAGAGGAGAACGGTGAGGGAAACTTGTGTTTCATCTCCAAACATAGACTGTTTTTATTGTGTATTTATACTGTCTTAGAGGTGGCATAGGTGATGTATGAGCACTGATGATGAAGCTTGGCACCTCCTAGGCACTGATGGAGTCATCTCTCTGAGGAGGGAGGAACAGTGATGATTTGCTTGGTTCTAGTGGTTGCCTGACCATAGTTGACACATAAAAAGAAAGAGGCTGTGAAAAGTACTGCTTCTTGAGCCAGGTGAATCTCCTTGGTAGTAATTGAGGGCCAGGAAGTATAGGAGTCAGGAAGGCATATATTCAACACAGAAAAAATAAATTGAGTTCCTGGGGCACGTGTTACTGGAGAGTCCATTGCTGAATACTCTGGCTCCTTACAGCTAGGTTTGAACAGTCCAGAAGACAAGATCAAGTGCTGGGTCGGCCAAGGTGACTCTGTCAGATCCTTCTCATTAAATCCTCCTCTTAAAAACTTTTCCAGGAAACAGAGGTAGAGGTGATTTCCTAGGAGGAAGGTTTAAGATTGACGGGAACCGAAGGACTTAATGTGCACATAACCTGTAGGTCGATGCTTTTCAACCATGAGGAAGAGGAATATGTTTTCTGTGCCACATAGCCTGAATCTCTAGCCTCACATGCTGACAACACATGCAGATCCGTAGTGTGAACATGCACATGGACGATCCGTCTCTGGGAAGCCCAGTGGCTGTTGCAGTAGAGAGAGATCTGGAAATAGAAATTGTTTCTGTGGTTGATTAGTGGTTTTAATGCTGAAGTAGAATGGCGAGAGACAAGGTACACTGGGAGTGCTGTGGGTTGTACAGCCTTGTAGTAAATCAGAGCAGTGGAGTCGGAGCGAAGACCCAGCTAGCACAGTATTGTGTCGCTGGCAGGAGGCAACAGCACGTGCTAAAGGAAGAGTGTAAGAACGGAGCAAAGCATCCGTTGATACTTCCCTGCTCTCCTCTACTGCTTTGGGACTTCTTGAGCTACAAGCAACATGTTTGTCTAGTTCTCCATTTTGGAATTTTTTGGAATTTTTTCCCCCCGTAAACGTTACCTAAGTGAGTTCTAAACTCATTAAATCTTTATGAATCTACAGCATCCTGTGGCTGCATGTTCTTGAGTTTAAGCACAAGTATGACAGTAAATGATGTTTGCTTCTGATACGTATGCACTGTTCAGGGCCAGAAATTACATTACTAAAATGTATTTAGGTTTTGGTGTAGTGAATTTGTTAGGCATAAAACGTGATGAAGCTCATATTAATATTTAGTTTTGGTTTTGTGTTTCTTTTTTCTCCCCCCCTCATCAAGGGTGCCAAATGCCTGACACTTTGAATTCATGGTTTCTAGTAGCCCAGCTTCATGTCTGGTAAGTAAAAAGTAAAATAGTAATATAACTGTTTTCGGGAAATAGTGATAGTACCTTAATGTGAGAAAAAGTAGGCTCCATAGTTATTGATAATAGTGGTTATATTCAGTTTACTAATTACTGAATTTTAGGAGTTTTCTACTAAAGAACAAAAAGTCCCATAGAGAAGCTAACAACTTTTACATCTCTAAATTCCTCAGTAGTGGAATGATCTTTGCCATGAGTTTTGTAAAAGCCTCGATCAGCCTATGTGGAAAAATCTTACTTGGGTGTTTTAGGAAAAGTTTAAATTTGTGTAGAAGTGGTTTAAATTGGGAGAATTTGTGGTGACTGCAGTTGCTGCTTGTCAAAAGCATTTAACAGATTTTAGCATTGGCATTTATTCTTGCACCTCTGAAATGTACTTGCAGGTTGGTGAATGCCAGCTTGGCTACGTGTAAAAATATTTAACACCTTAAACATCCAGTTTTTTCCATTTTTCATGTGTGAAAACAGTAGCCCAAAACCCCAGGTTTTCGTCTAGCGTTACATGTAAAGGTCAGAGGGATGCACAAGGGAGTACAGAAATTTTTAAGCGCCACATCTTTCAGGCAGCTGAAGTCCATGGACTTGCATTCAGCTGTCCAAAGGCTGGAAGGAAGTTTGTACTGAAATAGCTGCACATAAGCACAGGCCCCATATTTCCTTGCCTCCTTTTTTTTTTTTTCCCTTCTCTCCTTTTAATTTCCTGTCTCCTCAATATATTGAAAGATGGGGCAGTTCATTTCGCTAAAGAATGAATAAATTAGCAGAACCATTGAAATGATAATCAGTCAGTGGAATCAAGTGCGGAAGACTTTGAGATTTGCGGTTGGTATTTCTTTCTTGCTGCTCCCTGTGGAAAAAAAACCTTTAAACAAGTAATTGATAAGCTAATCATTCATATCGATATTTGGAAAACTGCTGCCATAAATATTCAAACCCAAAAGGTTTTTAAGTGTCTGGGGAAAACCGAAGAGAAGTAACGTGAATCTGCAAAGATCACATTTTTTTTTTCACATCATTTTGATTTTACATTGACAGGAAAATGTACCCTATGATACACAGCATCAAATTCAAGATACATAATCTTCTTTCATGACAGGCATAAAAATAAACAAGGGGACTATGACAGAGATTAAACTAGTATGGGATAGACACAAAAATTCGAAGATCAAAGCTACATTGGAGAAGGCCGAGAGATGCCACACTTTGAGCTAGTGATGTTAAGGAGACATTTAATGAGGGAGATTGGAGTACTCTTATGTTTAAGGTGTGGTGAACAGGTTGAAAGCAATACACTACACAAGCAGGAAGGAACCAAATCCCTCTACTTGGTAGGACAGTAATGAAAATTTGAGATTAGCACTAAATGTTACTTTTTCGAAGGTTTACGTGCCTGGCTTATCCATGTTCCTGGCAGCTTGACCAAAGGAGCGCTGTCACTCTGGACCACAAATGAGAGATCCAGTTTGATACAGTCTCTGTGACAGGCCTGCTCACTACCTTGGTCGTTGGGAAATGCTGCAGGCTTTGCTGGTGATTAGCACAGTGACCAGGGTCCTGCTGCAACATCATTTTGCTTTCACAGTCAGCTTATTGCTGTGTTCTCTGTGATTCTCATTCTTTAATCAGTTTAACCTTAGTAAAGTTACAGCAGAACATTATTGATTCGGCTGGCTCTGGCAAGGTCGAGGACATCCTACCCCTGTCTGAAGGCTCCCATACCTCTGTCTTTCCTGGTGGACCTATTGCCTCAGAGGCTAGAAACTGTCCTGATCTGGTGGCCAGTGACCTGACCATGTAGATTCTGATCACCATCTGTTAAAGCGTTCGTTTTCCCCCTTGCAATGCAGTCTAGATCACTTTCTGGTGTATTTATTTCTTTCATCTTCTTCAAAGTTTTAGTTTCAAGTGATTTAGAATGTCTTCTGGAGATGATGAGATTTTTTCCTAGTTTGGTAAACCCCACCTCCTTTCTTGCTCTTGTCATTGCCCATCGTGTTCTAGTCAACTGTGTCTCTGTGCTTTTTGCATCCCACCTTTTATAGACTTCACGTGCTTGGCAGCGCTGAAAGTTCTTGTGTTACAGATTCTGGTGGGTCCTCTGAATATCTGGCTCTTACTTCTGCTTGTCTGTGAACAGAGTTTTCCTACTTAGCTCCAGTCAGAAAGGGAGGAAATTCAGGCTCTCATGTTTAGCCTCTGCTTTTGCTAACTTCTTTCAAGATAGTGTTCCTTTAGATACGTGCTCGTGCCTTCCAATGCAGTGCTAAATCTATACTTTCAAAAATCAATCTGTCAGTATTCTTTCCTGAATGTCATGTTTCTATAGGCCGTTTCTGTTACTTTACAACTTTGATGTCAGGACTCTTTTCTTTGGAAGTCAAGACCTTTTAGGAAATCTCAAGCTGTTCATCTCCATTGCTGGGCTTGCTTTTTCCCGTGCAGTGACAGTCTACATGGAGTGTTGACTGTGTCCAGAGCTGCTACAAAACTGCCAAAGAGACGACTTTGGTGAGCATACCAAGAAATGTCTCAGTGCAGGGTGTGTTATGTGGATACTTAAAGCTCCCTCCATAGTTTCACCACTCCAAGTATGGTGACATCTGTGAAGTATTTAGGCTCAAAAGAGAGTGGTGCTACAATTCCTGTTCTGAAAGACTCAAAGATTGGTTGCAAGAATTCATCTGAACATTGTTTTTCATAAGGAAATCTACGCTGGAGAAAGTGTTGAGCACCCTGAGAGAGTCCAGGGGAGAACAAGAACCACTAAACATGTAGAAAACAGTTCCTGCAGGAAAAGATTTCTCAGATTTGCAGAGAAGTCTGGGATACCATAGCATTTTGAAACGTTGCTTCAGAAGAAAGGGAATAAACTCTGTGTTTTGTGGTAAAGAGGGCAGGGAGAAAGGGGTTTAAATTACATCAGAGGAGTCTTGCTTGAGAGAGGTTTTAAGAACAAGTGTATCAGGAATGTCTTAGGCATTTATCTTACCCTGCCTTAACATGAGGGAATGGGCTACATGGCCAAAGCAAAGGCACCAGGGGGGAGGCAGACTGCACAGCCAGGCTCGATTCTCTTGGCTTCTGCCCCAGCAACGACCTGTACATGGCTGTAAATACAGCAGCTGGGGAGGTTGCTAGCCTGGAGCACAGGATAATATGCAAACCTAATTAGGAAAATTTCAGAATTCCGCTCATTACCATTATTCATAGCAGTGTATGTTCAACATGTAGCTTATAACAAAGTCGATTCAGGAGCTTCCTTCTCCTGTGCACCAGGTTGCTGGCCACTCATGGACGAGTTAAACAGAATAAAGCCCTCCAAAACTGCTGTTGATAGTTGTGTTGTTAAACCAGAACAATTTCTCTGAACAAGAAAAGCACAGCACAAAAAAGAGGAATGAGGGGCCAGGTGCAGGGGACAGCGGGGAGCTCCGAGTGGGCTTTGCCCTTAGGAGTATAACGCATCATCTCCCCTCGACTGCACGGCACCGAGCCACCTCACAGCAGTCGACAGGGTGGTGCCGACTGCCGCGCCTGGTGTTGAAGCCGGTCTGCGGGCACCGCGGGAATACTGACTGAAGCAGCTGTGGCTGAGGCTGTTGTGGGAAACTGCTACATTTCATCTGAGGTGGGTCAAGTTATAGGTGCTCCTGTTCCTTTTCAGGCATCCTTTCATAGAATGTTCTTCTAACACAATCTCTCTGCATAACTTAGATACAGCATAAATTATCCAACCCAGCCAAGGTGAGGTAGACAGCTTGCTAAATATAGTTTGGAATAATTTTGCTTTCATGGTTTGATGAAGATGAGTCAGTATTTGAGTAAACTACAGAACAGATTTGTAGTGAAACGATAAAATGTTTCACACTGTGTTGATCTGGTTAGAAGGTTTATAGTCTTTAAAGAGTCTGTGTCTTTTAAACCTCAGACGGCAGGTGTAGTAACAAACTACCAAATTTTCAAATAAACTGCAATATTCCATGATCTCACTCGTGGTGCTGCAGAACAGCTCTGTGACAGCACTATGCATCCAAACACAGAGCTGCCTTTTAGGCTTCCCAGCTAGCAGGTTTTGCTCTGAACGCCGCTCCAGTCCTGCTCATCAGTGACCAATTGTTAGCTGTTGGTCTGCGCACTGCTCTCTCCGCCTGCCTTGCTGCCACAGAAGGCAGACTGGATAGGAACCAGTCTTTATGCTCAGGAGGAGGTTTTCTTGCCAAGTCACCCTT